TCTGCAAATTAAAGAATCTTTTATAGCAAGTTCGAGTTTCCATTAAGCCCGTTTTCAGACATATTGTGGGTTGGTAGGTTTCTGCATAACTACGTCCAATTGGGCATGACGCGTTTCGTTTTGACATTTTTTGCCGCCTGGATAATTTCTTGGTTCTGTACTATGTCTGCCTCTGAGTTTATCACTCCTTCGTACTTACGCAGCGGGAAAACGGTTTCAAGATTTTCAATTATCTCTTCATCACTACCGCCCACTCTCTTCCTGCGTCGAAGCTTCTCTGCTACTATATTATACGCTTGACCCCACACGTTTCCGTCCAATTCTGGACATTCATTCTTCCAACAACGCTAACGCTTGGTCGACTTCGCCTTTCCTCGTTGCTCTAATAGCCCGCCTTCACATTTTCTTCTCTCCGCGGCCACTTCTTGATCCCACCAGTATGGTGCTCGTTTTTCACTTCTTTCCTAACATTTGGCATTACCTCGTCTACCCATTTTGTAAGCCCAGCTCAGACGGCGCCCGCGTACGTAGTATGCGTGCTTTCTTTTCCAGGATTCTCCTTAATTTTTCCACGTTTAACTTCCTGCTCTTACATGTGATATCCTGCTTGTTGTTGAGAGCCTTCGGTTTCATGCCTTCCCGTCTACCGTCCAAGTAATATAATGCTGGTCGCTGAGGGACTCGTTTTCCTTCACCTTCCAGTTAGTGATTTGACTTGCTATGTTGGCCCTGGCCAGTTACATCTATGTACGTCTTCCTTTCTCAAACGAGTCGTATTGACGATTTGTAGGTCCAGGACCGCCATCATCTATCCTACTTCGGTTCCCCTTCCATTGCTGTTTCTATATTACCAAAACTTTGTGTGGTGATCTGGTTTTCACATTATACAATCTACTAAATAGTACGTCGGGTACATGGCTAGAATGGGGAAAATACTGCACTTTTTGATTGGAATATGCCACTTTCTGTGGTAATAGTTAATACCAAAAGGCAACTTTTGAGATAGGGAGCCACTCGAAAATCCGTGCAGGAAACCAAAATGGTGGCCGTCAAAATGGCGCCATTAGCCGCAATATATTTTTCTGTATCTCTGCTCCTAATAGTCCGATCTTAATTTTCTTTTTTTTTATTGAAAGCTCTTGTGACGAGGAAACTTTTTTGCTATATAACATTTATCTCTAAAACTTAAGGATTTAGCACAATTTAAAAAAAAGTGTTTTTTTACGAATTTGAATCACAAGTAAGCTTTTAATTGTGCAATATCCCGGTCTTTTCGACAAAAAAGGCCATCGTTTAGAAATTCAATCGATACAACCCCAAAACTCCTTGTATCTACCCTGCAAGTTCGGAAAATTTCAATCCGCCATGTTTTTTTTTGAAAAAATGCGCAATATTTGTTTCATCAGGCACGAAATCAAGCATTATGAAAATTGAAAGGAAAAGCCTCGTCAATTTTTTTCTCTGAAAAACAGAAAATACACTCTGCTTTTAAAGAAACACTCAGTATAGCTGGCAGTATAGCAACTTTAACTCTTACTCTCGCTCTTATTTTACTTAACTAGTTGGTTTAAGCTACAACGAATGTGAAAATTGGAGTGCTTATTTATCAGATCATGGGTTTTTTCGATGGTTTTCTCTCGGGTTTTCTTTAAGAATATTAACGGAATATTATGATTTCCAAGTTTTAGATACCTATTCATATAAGTTGAATCATTTTTATTATACAGGGAATCCACCTTCTGTAAGCGGACGATAGAGCCTCAATCTCGGCCTCAATGGTTGAGATTAATGGTAACGGTTTGTTGGTACGAGAAGCCTGAGGGGAAGCCTAAAACGTATTTTTAGGTATATAGGGTGTTCTCGAGGGCAGCCTATACATTTTGATATTTTTTATAGGTATCCCCGGGTATCCCTTAACAAAAGAATTATTTTTGTAGGTCTTATCGGTTTTTTTTTCGTAATGCTAACCGCGAGGCTTTTTATGACATCCATAATTATAAAAAGTTTGCTACCAATCCACGTACATTCAATTTGGGGTCAGTAGCATACTTCTACACAGTCAAAGGGGACATACTGTTTTTAAATAGCAACCACTATTTTCTTGACGTAGTGAATTATTTGTCGATACAAATTGATACAATAAAATTTATACAGATTTTAGGAAGGCATTTGATAAAGTACATCACGATTTGTTGTTAAGAAAGCTTTATCAGTATGGCCTATCAATCAATTTGTTACACTTTTTTGCTTCTTATTTACGCAGTCGCAAACTTGCAGTGAAATTTAATGGTAACACATCAGGCAAATTTGAAGCTAATTCTGGAGTACCGCAAGGCTCTATTTTGGGACCTTTGCTGTTTCTGATTTTTATAAATGATCTGCCTTCTCAGTTTAGTAACTGTCAATCTTTACTTTTCGCGGATGACCAAAAAATATTTATGCCTATAACCAGTATTTCTGATTGTTTAAATCTTCAAAATGATCTTAATAAATTGTATCAGTGGCGCCGTTTGAATAAATTACCTCTAAACATAAAAAAGTGCAATGTATTATCGTTTTAGCGCAAGAAGAGTACACTCTTTTTTAATTATGAAATTAACGGGTTAAGTTTGGAACGTGTAACTTCCATAAAGGATCTTGGAGTAACTTACGATGATAAAATGAACTTTAATAAACACATAAATATTACAGTGGCTGGTGCATACAAAACTTTGGGTTTTATTGTGAGGCAAACCAAGAATTTCAAAAACATAAGTACAGTTAAACGACTTTATTTTACATTAGTTAGACCAAAGCTTGAATATGCTAGCACAGTTTGGCATCCAAACACGTGTAATTCAATAAAAGCAATTGAAAAAGTCCAAAATAAGTTTTTACGATTTCTCTATTATAAAAAATTTGGCACTTATCCTAACTATAACAGTGTTAGATCGGTTGATCTAAGGAAAGTTTTTGAAATCCAAAGCTTAGTGAATAGGAGAAATATACTGTAATATTTAACATTTTTTCCAAACAATTAATAAAACATTATGATTTCAATTAAGGATAAAAGAAAAAAATTAGTAGGGCTTCTTACACCCCAACAGTATCATATTTTTTTAATTTTTTGTATGCGAAAGTTTGTATCATTTTTTAGTTGAATGTCATTATTAGATTATATACTTATTATTCAGCAACCCTTCATTAATAGATAATAGATACCTGCTACGTAATTAGGGCTGTGCCCTGTGTAGTTTGTAACAATAAATAAATAAATAAATAAAACTCGTTTTTCAAATAATTGAATTTTAATATTTCTTTAGCTAATCGACTTCGAATCGTATAGACCGATTCATCATCAGACCTTAAGAGTCAGAATATTGTGCTGAATAATACAAATCCTTACATATTAACATTTGACGTGGACAAGTTACACATAAAAATCGGGTTGAGCTTACTTGTGATTCAAATTCGTAAAAAAAAACACTTTTTTAAAATTGTGCTAAATCCTTAAGTTTTAGAGATAAATGTTATATAGCAAAAAAGTTTCCTCGTCACAAGAGCTTTCAATCAAAAAAAAGAAAATTAAAATCGGACTATTAGGAGCAGAGATACAAAAAAATATATTGCGGCTAATGGCGCTATTTTGACGGCCACCATTTTGGTTTCCTGCACGGATTTTCGAGTGGCTCCCTATCTCAAAAGTTGCCTTTTGGTATTAACTATTACCACAGAAAGTGGCATATTCCAATCAAAAAGTGCAGTTTTTTTTGGCGTACCCAACGTACTAAAGAACGCGTCACAATTACAATTACATGCAGATACTCTTTTTTAGTCAGCCCTAAATTGACTGTCAAAATCGATGGCAACAGCGCGGTTTTTGTGGTAATAATTAAAACCGGAAACTAAAAATCCTGAAAGAAATAACATTTAACTTCCCGTCGAACACAAAAAATTAACATACCACAATTAAAGAGAGTTGCTTAGTAAATAATATAATTACGGCCACGATTGACTCTGTTCAAATTTTATATAAAGCTGAAAGAATTCTTAAAAAGAATGCGCGAGATAATAATTGATTTAGCACTGCTAGCTTAGCTGCCACTTACGTTGTTAATAAATCGAATTTCATAGCCTCCAGTTCTCTTAAAATTTGTTGTCTTCATTAACAAGTCCAGACCCTCCACTTTCCAATTTTTCATTTAGGGTACCGTTCTTTAAGTTGGGCACAATTTTGAGATGGGGGTCGGATTGGCCAGTTCTTTCAAATCTGAACGTCAATTCGGGTGTGCGGTCATGGTCTGGGAAATCAGCAATTTGCTTCACGTATTTCAAGAAAAATGTGACCGACGACCTATGACCTTTTTTCCATTTTTTGTCGCGCCTCCCAAACACAACTGTTTAAATCAATAGTGCTTAGCGTAATTGTTTTTGTCGGATGCTGATTTACATTGTATTCTGTGAACTAACGGACTAATCTGTATATTATTAGATGACATAAGCTAGGTATCTCCCCCCTAGGGATGCTTTTTAATCCATTTATAGAAAGCTCGCATTAGCAAACCTGCAAACTATCGTTACGTATTGCTTACAGTGACTGCCTTTATATAAATTATTCATTTATCTCTGGTTTTATTTCCTTCCTGGAACATTTCCTCTACTGAACCAACAGCGATAATATGTAATTGTACGGTTTGTTATCAATTTCACTTTATCAGTTGCTTATCACGGTGTGCTCACGGTGACGTTTTCGATTTTCTGAAAGGTTTCCAGAGATTATTTATCAATTTGGCATTGGCAAAACGATTATACAGAGTACCGTTGTTGTTAAACGTCACCGCAGAACATCATTTCGTAGCGGCGGATTTGCATATATAAAAAGGTACATATTTGCGCTATTTATACGCATTTCATGGACGTGCACACACACGCCATTCGTCCTTTTTGTGTTTACACGTTTATATCAACTTCACATTTCATGTATGCCTACTTAGTTATGTAAAATAATTTTTTATTTACAGATCCATTCCAGGGCGGTGCTGTGCCCTCGACGCGTGGTGAGTCGAATATTTTCACACTAGTAGATAAATCGGAGCGGAACTTTTTTATTGCGATTTTGGCACATAAACTCGTGTAACATCCGCTCTGTTAGTGTTTAGACCACAAGTTATCGCGATTATTTATACAGCCACAATTAATTTCGGATAACGCACTGTTTAATCATCCTACTGAGCGAAAATTCTATTTTGATGGACTTCAAAAAACCGATCTACAAACAAACCCGCGTTGTCTATTTTTGAGTGCTCATGAAATTTGTCTATATGGTATACCTCTGTAGGTATACCTCGGTAGGTATACCGTATACATATAAAGTTGTTTACAATTTTTGAAAGTATCTAATCAACAGTACTTTAGAGTGATTTTGTAATCAAAGAAAGTTTACCCTGTAATCAATAATTGTATTCCAACTTTTATTAGGGAACCATTATAAAATAAAAATTGGATAGGTACATAACACCATAACCTAAAAATAAGTCGTAGCCAGCACAACTGGTGTTTAATCCAACAACATTTAGGTCATAAGGTCACTAGTTAAACGAAAGCACTTCATTAATATTGTAATTTCGAAATAAATCTTCGAGTTTATCGATTTCGTTCAAATTTTGTACACTGGTGCCTTTTACATTCTAATTCGAGCCCTTTCTCATTCGAGCCCAAGTCAAACGTTATGAAGCTACGCCAGATAACGTCCAAAGTCCTTGTCTAGTTTTATTGGAAAAATGATACTCGCACTGCTTTGGGCAGATTAACTTGTCTTTTCGACCAAAGTTTAAGCTTTAATTGCTAATGTCTCAATAATGGAGGTACTCTTAAAGTGGGGAATAGCCACAAAACCAACACGAATATACGAATATCTCGCTATTGATTTTCCATGCTCTACTTAATTCCTTCGACCATATTGCCTTAAACCCTTGTGCTTTTTATGACCTTTTCGGGCCTTTAATCTACCAAAAGCAAACATCACAATGTAAATATTATGAAAACTATAGAAAACAAGTATAAATTGTGCACAGGTCTTGTGCAGATGAAGCGCATTTTTTTTAACCGAAATAGCTTTTGTTTTGACATAACCAATGGATATATTTCTTTGCAGACGTCTCAATCGCCCTTTGCGAGTACCCTCTTCCGACAATCCGAAGACCTTTAATTAGAATATTTAATTTTTAACCTCCCCACTGGACCAATGTCTATGATACCGGAAATCTCAGTTAGCGATACTGCGATGAACATTCCCGGGCGTAACTAGGGCTTCATTGAGAACAGGCAGCAGCACCACTTCGTTAAACACAGGTGCTACGGGGATTAACAAATTGCACCATACATTTCAATTATGAATAGTAAAATGATACCTACTCTTCATGTTGCACAAGCAGTTTGTGTTTGTATTTAATCTACTTTTAATTTAATACAGTAGTTGCTTCTGAATTTTAGCATTGGAAATGCTTATGTTTTGTATGGGTATGAAGTTACTGGTTAGTCGAGCAGAAAAGAAGACAATTGGTGTCGCATCAAGTGATGATTGTCTCGTACTCGACTGCAATCGGTAGATTCAGGAAAAGTCGCGGATACTGTCGATACGGTACTTACTTAACAGTGCGCAAGGGGTTAATTCGAATCTAAATTTATCGCACATCGCCCGTGATGGTATTACACGCATGTTACGACGCTTATTATTTAGAAACTTTACGTTTGCGAGACGAGCGAGTGGAGCAAGTGATGCCGTTTGAATAAGGGTTATTTGTGTCTTACATATATGGCATTGTACAGTTATTATTTCCAATGCCTCCGATGGTTGCAAGGATTGCGAAATTTTTGAATTTTTTTTCAAATTTGTTATAGCGAGCGCATTTCAAAAATCTTCGTAATTGGGCTTATCACAAGACCGATCTTTTGTCACGGGATAATAAAGGAATCGTCCCTGCTCCTGTAGGTCACACGCTTTACCCACCTCGGAACGTTGCAAGTAGATTTCTTTTAAGCGCCTAAAGGTCGCTTCACACTAGCGTTCAGGTCACGTTCCCCTCAAACCGCCGCAAAATTTGCAATATGTTATTTCAATAGGAATATTCACATTTGACGTTCAGGTCACGGCCAAACCATGATCATAAATTATGATTCATAATAAATACACGCTACAATAATTGAGCGGACCGTGATCTGACCTTGACGTGACCGATAATGTGAATAGCCTTAAACCGAAACAATACCATTTGATCGTTTGTTTCTTTTTTTACTAATTAAGTAGTTAGTTTGTACTTTTGGTTTTGCGAAAAAATGAATTTAAAAACACAAACGAAAAAAACGTATTTTAGAATGGGAATGAAATTCAAGTCTAATCGCAAACAACATTTTGATGTCGTGTGCGAAAACAAACCCGCCAGCATTACATATCGTATATTAGATACCGCAGAATAAAAATTCCTTCCAGGTTGGTACTCTGCTGTGTGTCATCTATAGTCCAATAACTCAACTTTTTAAATTAGTTGAACTGAATCAGAATGGCGTTGTTTTATTTTGCAAATAGAGGGCGCGTTTAAGGATACCGAAGGTATTTAAATTAAGGATATTTTATCTTTAATTTTGTTACACATAAAATGCATTGAGGTGATCTATCTGTTGTAGTTAATCTGTGGTTATGTGCATTAATGCATCCTTCCTTGTCTTCTGTTGTCAACACACTATATGCCTTCCTTATGTAGTTAGTCTATTGAAAATGGGTCAAATCCAATGACCCCGGGGGGTCACGCTTCTCTGTCCCTGCCAAACGCTTGCACCTATTTGTTTGAAACTTTGCACAGTAGACTTATATGCCACATGTAACAAGTCTATCGAAAATGGGTCAAATTCAATGACCCTGTAGGATCACGCCTCTCGGTCCCTGGCAAACGCTTGAACCTATTCAGTTCAAACTTTGCAAAGTTGACCTATATGCCACATGTAACAAGTCTATTCAAAATGGGTCAAATCCAATGACCCCGTAGGGTCACGCATCTCTGCCTCTGGCAAACTCTTGAAGCTATTCGGTTCAAACTTTGCACAGTTAACATATATACCCCATGTACCAAGCCAATTGAAAATGGGTCAAATCCATTGACCCCGTACGATCACACCGATGTGCTCTGCCGCTTTTTTAGATGCTCTTTAGGGGTTTATCTAATATTTAGACGTATGTAGAATAATTATTATAGATTTTTATTAATTGAATTACATACGTATGTAGGTACCTTCCAAATGTATAACCACAGCTACACATGTATTGTATGCACCTACCTATATTGTATCGAGTATTGTGATTCACGCACGGACACATAAATTTATAAAACAAATTTTATGAAACCGTTAATTTCTGGAGATTTTTCGAAAAATCCTAGGAACTGCTTAATGAATTCCTGGGAATTCCCAAAGAATTCTCCAAACTTATACACCGAATTCCCGGCGAGGTTCGTCCCTCTATGTGATTGAACAAAGTTATTCTTTAGTCAAATCATAAATCATTCCCATTAAAACACGTTTTTTAATTCTTTTCTTAACGATCAAAGAACTATGAACTTATTAATATGCTAATTAATAAAAGTTGCTAGTCATATGTCACTAACCGCAATTTGGCGTTTAATGTTGACATCATTTTTGAGTTGGCCCTATCGAAATAATATACTTTCATAAAACGCTTTTTATAGCTTGACAGAAGTTTTATTATTTTTTAGTTTTTAACACATCTAATCAGACCGAAATTTTGTGCTAGTCCCGTACTTGATCTGATCTGGGATATTCAATCAGACTTTTTTTATTGTTTATTTTATGTAATCGATTGCTGGTTCTATTTAGAGTTCCTAGTAGAGGGGCGACCAAATCCCATACAACTGAATACCGAACGGTCCTTGAGATCTTCGAACATACATCATTTTTACAACACACCTTGTCAGATTGAATCTATCCCACCAGATTAGTATAGCTTGTAAAACAAATGTTTCAATCGGATTAGTTTTTCATTTATTTGAGGTCCGTATATTAGACCAAGCGATATGTATATTTAAAAAAAAATTTAGTTACCGGTTCAAACCGGGTTTTTAAACATGTTGGTGAAATGATTAGAAATTGGGGAAAAATAATTAAAACAGCTGAATGTTTCAGCGGGTGAAATCACGGGGGTTGAAAGGGATGGAAACTGGTATTTTGCAATTTGTGGCAAAACTATTAATTCTAGGCGAAAATGTTCAATATAAAAGTTAGGTATAGGGAATAAAAAAAATGAACAACTTTTGTATCTGCACTATTTACACATAACCTCCAATTTTCCTAGAAAAACCGGAAAAACTTTTTTTTCGATTTTTATTCTTATTTTTGCGAAAAAAAGTCATAGGAGTTTGAAATTTGGAGTAAACGCAGCTTGTTTTATGATAAAAAAAAGACAATTTTTTTGGCCTATAAAGTTGAACCGTTTCCGAGATCTCACGATTTCTGAATAAGCTATATTTCCTCCAAATTTCACACCCCTATGACTTTTTTTCGCAAATCAGAATAAAAAACGAAAAAAAAAGTTTTCCCGATTTTTCTAGGAAAATTGGAGGTTATGTGAAAATAGTGTAGATACAAAAATTGCTTATTTTTTTAATCTCTATAACTTTTACGTTGAACATTTTCGTCTAAAATTAATAGTTTTGCCACAATTTGCAAAACACCACTTTCCACCCCTTTCAATCTTCGGGATTTCACCCGCAGAAAAATTCAGCTGTTTTAATTATTTTTTTCCAATTTGTACTCATTTCACCTGCTTGAAAAACCCGGTTTCGCCCGTAACTAATGTTTTTTTAAAATACATTATTTTAGAGCTATTTAGCCTGGACTATATGCAAAATTTCATTTAAATAAATATCTTAACAAAATAAAATGGGGATTGCGTAAACATAAAAGTTGGGTTGTGCATGCGCAATTTTGTTTTATTCGCCTGCATAGTTACTTGAGGTTTAAGGAATATTTACTAACACAGAAAACCGGA